GGGAGTGGGGCCGTTTCCAGGCTCTGTGCATTGACTTCTCTGCTCAGAGGTAGCTAGTCACATGGAACTTTTTTTGGCTTCTGTACGTGACTCTGGGAAAAACTGTTGGGAGGAAGATTGCCTAACAAGCACCTGCCCAGGTTGCCCGAGTCCCCGTGGTGTACCACTTGGCTGCTGGTTTAGTAGGACTGACATTTCATTCAAAGACATGAGAATGGTCCAATGTAGTGGGAACCAGCTATCAGTATAGTTGCCACGGACCTGGGCATTTCACGATGGAGGTGTCAGTTACAAAGTTGGCTCTCACTGGCTTGTTTCAGAAAGGCTCGGGGTCTGTTCTCACGGACAGCAAGCTTTCTTGGCTCCTGGTAACCACTACAGCACTGGCTACAGAGCTGAGTAAAATATGGGGACAGTGACGATGGGGGAAATGAATGAGTTTCCTGTCTCTGCAGGTTTAGTTATATGAACTTGGATTAACTTCCTCTTCTTTAAAAAAATTTTTTTCCCATTTTTCAATTACATTTGACATGCAATGTTATATTAGTTTCCAGTGTCACCTCCTCTCCTTACTCACTAGTCAGGTGGACAGTGTGGAAGACATGGACCTCACACTCTGGTGAATTCTATAGACAAGTACCTTGTATGTTCACCCACCCCTGCCCTCCCTCGTTTCTTCTCCTGCAGACTCTTACGTGCCACTTACTGTGCTGGGGACACCACCATTAGCTGTCTTGGGTGTGCTGGTCAGCCATTGTACCTACTTCACTGATCTCCTAAGGCCAAGAGAATAAGTCTCCTTCATAAATTACAGGAGTTTTGGAATGAGATGTAGCAGGGTTCGAATCCCATTGTAGTAACTCTGTGACCTTGGCTAGTAATTTAAACTCTCTGAGCCTTTGATTCCATATCATAAAAAAGAAATGTTATCTCACATTGTCTGGTGATGAAAATTAATTAAGATACTGACATGAAGTGTCTAGGAAAACCCTACCCCAGAGCAGGTAGTCAGCAAGTGGCAGTCTGCTCCTCTTCCTCGGCGAAGTCCTGGACTCTGTGCACACTGGCTGAGGGTCTGTGGTGTTAGATATTAGTGCTGCTCTTCAGGGGTCCTGACTGTCTTCTCTTCCCGGGCACATGGGCGTGTCATCACTCTAACTAACATGATGCAAGTGGAAGTATTTAAGGACAGATGTGTGATTTTCCCTGACTCTTGTTTTCTGCTGAGGGAATTGCAAAAGCACCATCAAGGCTGCCTGGCCCCACACCCACAGTTGACTTGGTGTGATTAGGAACACACTATGTTGCGTCCCACCCCTGGGGTCCCGGGGACCAGTCACTGCAGCACCACCTGGACTACTCAGGCTGATTCATGTGCAGAGATGCATAAGTTGTACCTGCAAACACCGCCAGACAAAAACAAGAGCTCTGATAGGGAAACATTCAAAGTAATGCAGGGCACTCAGAAAGGAGCAGCCAATACTGCTGATACTGCCGGGCTGGCAGGGAAAGGAGGAAGGAGGACACACGTGAGCTGGACTGTGGGAGCCAAGGGAGGGAAGCGAGCGAGAACACCTCAGGGGCAGCTCCACGCCCCCTGTCTGGGGAAGGTGGCTGTGCCAGGTCAGTGTGCGCCGAGGCACACGGATGTGCAGATCACGCGGTGTTTCGGGAAGAATGACCCCTAGCACTCCCTACGGAGCATCTCCGTGACGAGTATTTTCCCCACAGAACACTTCTCCATGGGGCATATAGAATCCGTGTCTTCCGACACAAGCCTGTCGACCAGGATTTACACAGGAAAATATTGTAGTCATGGCCCCCAAACCTGATGCATTTTTTTTAAACAAAGTGATGGGACGGAGCTCAACAGAGAAAGTTTTAAGTTCACTCCAAATGTAATTGATAACGCAGCACAGTTCACAGAAGGCCATTGGAAAGGCTCTGGAGGGCAGCTGAGGGGACACACAGCGTGTTAGGAGACGAAGCAGTCCAGCAGTCCTGCTGCTGATCTGGTGATCAGAGAGCACTGCTCTAAATGTTTTACACCCTCCTTTTACCACAGTTTGCTAAATAAATATATAAAAGCCAAAAAGCATTTCACAACCTAACACATTAGCTTATCGTTTATACGCAGGCACTTTACTGTGTTTTATGTTTTGGAAAATTGGTTGAGGATTTTCAATTGAGATGTAATGCACTAGAAATGTTCCCATTTAAAAGAATTGGACCGAGGCTCCTGCAAACAGTGTTAAGTGAAAGATGCCAATATTTCTGGCAGGGCTTAGAGGGGGCCGAGTGTGACCCATGAAGGAGGCTGGACCTGAGGTAGCACTGAGCCAGAGGTTCTCCTGCCCATGGGGACAGGAGTGACATGGGGACACGAGTGTATTTTTTATATCAGCAGCCCTGACTTACACACATGGGGAGAGCCTGAAGCAGGGAGCTGGTGACGGCGGAGTCTGGGCGGGAGGCAGTGGGGTTGGACAGGGAGTCGGAGAGACACTCAGAGGCTGAATGCTGGATGGGAAGGCACGGAGGGTAGAAGTCCGAGAGTTGGTCAGAAAGGTGACAGGGAGGAAATGAGGGTCGGAGGCGCCACCCTGGGGGTCCTCAGAAAAAGAGGAGAAGGAAGGAGGAGGAGGAGCAACAAGGGCAGGTTTCAGGGAATAAGGATGACGGACAAAGAGTGACTCTGGCTTTGTGTGCATTATTTGATGTGTTCTTTGCTGAGGTCCCCCAAAGACCAGCCTGCTGGCCCACACTGGCAACCCTGCGCTCCTGCTGGAAAGAACAGTCATCACTGAGATAGACTGAACACAGATGCTCTCTTATTGGGATGAGCTTTGGGGAGGAAAAGCAAGACTCCCAGAAGTGTTCCTGTCACTTGGAGGCTGCCAAATCCCTCTTCCCGTAGGGCCCCCAAAGCAGTCACGCCTGGGTGAGAGGCAGAAACCTGCTCCCTCTGGCCAGCGACCATCCAGATGGCTCTGCTTCTACAGGGAAGATTGAACCAGCTGGAGAATTGTAGTTCCTGCCTTCAAAATCCTTGACACATCTAAGAACTTCCATTCTCATAGTTGCATACTGCCCCAATTGCTTTTAGCTTCTCTGAGACCTGCCAGGTTGGTAAGAGTTCATCAGTGAGATTTCAGATAGGATATTCCCGTCTTAAACCCACATGAACTATATTGAACTGTGACAAGGAAGTGGGAAGATGACCTTTTTTGAGAGAGAATGTCAGTCTACAAGGGCAGGGAATTTGGTCTGTCGTATTCACTGACGGGTCCAAGTCCTTAGAATAGTCCTGGCAAGTGAGGGGGCTCTATGAGTACTGGCTGGTTTGAATTAGATTGGCATTCACTCCTGGCACAAGTCGAGTTTCCTGTTTCCTGTCAGCTTCTAGAGCAGTCGGCTGGGCTGCGCTGACCTTTTCATTGACTCAGCTCCAGCACCAGTGGGGTTTGGTGGAAGCACTGGTGAGGGGCCTGGGCTGGGGGAGTCTGAGTTCGTGCACCAAGGGAAACACCTGCTTATACAGAAGGACTTGCGTGCTCCCACCTGGGGTTCCTCGCAGACTGCTCTGGCCCCTCTCCTGCACCCACAAACAGTAGGAGAGGTTGCTCCACACGAGCAATTGAGCACATCCCAGGCAATCCACGCAGACGACGCCCAGGGCAGTGGCTCCGCCCAGGAAGACTTTCTGCACAGGCCAACACGGTGTCCCAGCACGCAGAGCAGGGCCTGTGGTCAGTAACGGAGCAAAGAAATCAGTGGCACAGTGAACTATTTGCTACTTTGTCTCACCTCCGGGTCTCAGCTTTAAAATCTTGAGTATATTGTAAAGAATGTATTTTCTGGATCCCTGAGAAATTTTTGCAAGCTGAAAGACCTCCACTTGTAGTGCAGAGAGTCATAAGCGGGCAGATAGAGTGTTGTTCTGCCCAGTTTTCCTCTGCCTGCCAGAACACAGGTTGGTGGGGACCTTGAGAACCCAGCCTCCCCGACATAACCGGCTGCCAGCACCTCTCTGCCTCTTTTGTTAGGCGCAGTGTCAGGTGAGGTGCAGAACAGCTCCCCCAGGCCACTGGGCTCTGGGCTCCACAAAGAGGGTCTTTCTGGATCTTTTCCTGAACCAGAAGTAGGATCGGCCCGCCGAATTCTTTTCATAGGCTGAGATGAGACCTAGTTTCAGATTCATACACTGTCCTATTCATCTAGGACCACTGTCCTACTGTCCTCCTCACAAGGGGAGCCTTGAAACTCACTTTAATTTCTTTTGGCTAGTCCTAGAAGGTCTATGCATTCATTCCTTCATCCATTCATTCATTTATCACCTACCATTTAACCTGCATCATCCTAGGTTCTGGGTAAACTGTGGAGAGGAGACCAGCCTCAGCCCCTGCCAGTGTCCCTGCTGCCCATACCCCTGCTAAGTCCTGCTGCACCACGTCCACATGCCCAGCAACCCTGTGCCTTCTGCTGCCAGCACGACGGGAGCGCTCGGCCGGCACACACGCAACCTCTCCACGCTCAGCCTGTTCTCACACACACACAGTGCTCACTTCGGCAGAAAGAAAAAGGCCAGCAGCAGAACAGAACGAGAGTGGTCTCTTTTTGTTTTATTGGGACATAGCATTACATGAAATAAATACTAAGTTTCCAAATCCTTAACCATTCCATAAATAATATTAAGTTAACGGACATGTTTATAGGATGTTGTATTAAATAAGATAAAAGTGTACATCTATTTTGCCTGGAACAGACTGGAGGAAAATACTTCCAAGAGTCTTATATCTGAAATATATCTTGAAAACTTTATTTTTGTGCTTTCTGCCTAGATGAGGTAGTGAAGTAGCAGTATGCCTGAAATGACTGATACTTTGCCTTGGAAGTTTAATTACATTGAACACGAAGGCCCTACCCTTGGCTGACCCTCATCTTCATGGTAAGAAAACATCCTTCTCCTCCTCCAAAACCCTTCGCTACAAGAAGCCAGTTTAGTCTTCATTTTCCATTGGCCACTCAGTGTTCATCACACCAAGAAACCTCTGCAGGTATTCCAGGAATTTTTTTACTCTCCATCGTTCCCCTTCACACTTAATTTTCTGTGAAAAAGAGCAGAGAAGAGGTATTGTAGGAACCTGTCAATTCCTGTAAAACTAGGCACAGCCAAACAAACACACTGAAATTCCCACGAAATGTTTCCGCTCACCCTTTGGCCATCTATGTACTCTTTTATGGAAGACAGGTTTTGGAAGAGTTTTTCCACGGCGTCCCCTTGTGCGGTCTGATTCTTCAGTGTCTCCACCCCCCGGAAGACTTCTTCAATGCACAGTTGGTGCTGAATGAGGAAGGTTTAAAAAACATAAGTAATCCAATCAAGGTAGGAAAAATTTGTCCCAAACAGCTGGACTTTGTTTTGTGGTGTTTACGTGAGTTCCCATCTACAAAGAGTTGTTTGCTTGTTCCCCTCTGAGGCGGCACCAACTCGCACCACGATAGAATTTCTAAAAGTAGGCATGGCTTATATCCTTCCTGAGGAGTTTTGCAAACTCCTGATATAAAAATTCAGTACTGAACCAAAAATAAAATGTTTAGGAAGCGTAATACAACTACATTACTGACTGACCTTACATCAGAGGTTATTTTGATAGTTCTACCTGATCGTCTTATTCTATTTAGACTGATGAAGTCACCAATTTTACATTTCAGTGTGACCATGACTCGCTGCAAATGCATGCCATTCCATCACACATCGTGGTTGTTTTTCAAATGTGGAGGTGAATGTTAACACACAGCACTCATTGTATATTTCAATGTGTACTGAGTATGATTCTAAAGATACTACCCTGAGCGGCTCACACTTTCAAAAAGGCATTAAAGTGAGGAAAGCTGCCAGTGGTCAGAGCCGAGTGGGTACCAAGGGGCACCTCTCATCTGACAGCCTCCCCAAAGGTCCTGAGCTGCTTGTTGAATATTCTCTACTTGTGGTAAAGTCATTCTTGATATTTACAAGTACAAAGATTCACACCCCACACGTAAAAACAGAATACAGGACATAAAAACAGTCCTGATGATAACTACTGCTTCACAGCCTAAAGCATGCAATTTGCTTGTTCTCACAATCAGACTTCAACTTACGTCTTTATGTCCAGGAGTAGGGATCATCAGGTTCTGAAAAGGAAAGGAAATACAGTCACCCTCAAAGCACTCAAGCATTCATGACCGAATAAAACGACCGTGAAATGGTTACCAGTTGTCTATTACACACACTTGTAATTTCATTATTCATAACAGATCTTTAAGCATTAGCCACACCAGTGATCTCCGGTGCCTTCTGCAGACTACAGCACTCAGGAAGTAACGTTACCTCGTCACCTATCAGCAGAGCCTGGTGAGTGGAGAGCAGCGCCATGGTCTCTGCCACCAGCCTTTGCATGGGACTCAGCACGGCAGCAGCACACGTAGAAGCAGCTCCAAAAGCTAGGAGACTCAAGTGCAGAAGCATTCTCATGGCTCTGAAATGTGCAGCGCTTGCCGTGGGCAAAGAAAGTGCATTGTTCAGATGGTATCCCCAACCAATTTATTCTCTCTCTCTTTGAGGAAATGAATAATTTCCATCCATCAGATAGAGACTGTCTAATAATGGCATATTATGAAACCAAATGTTTCCAATGCCTTCTATCTTAAACAAAATTCATTTTTATCTTTTAATAATAAAAATCCCTGTTTTTCCCCCTTCAAAAACATTTTCTAGTACCAAAGAAAACCTCTGGGTTGATATGTCATTGCCCCACATTTGCATTTTTTAAAGTCAGAAGACTGAATTTCCTCTTAAAAGATAGTCATAAAAAGAGAGAAGTATGATATAAACCACTAAATAGAATTTTATGCTAAAATACACAAATATTGAGAACTTTTTTTCCAGGTTTACTAAATTCAATCACGGTGGTTGCTAGACTGATTTTCTTTTTTTTGTCTAAAGATTTTATTTATTTATTTTTAAAGGGAAGGGAAGGGAGGGAGAAAGAGAGGGAGAGAAACATCAATGCGTGGTTGCCTCTCACATACCCCCTACTGGGGACCTCGCCTGCAACCCAGGCGTGTGCCCTGACTGGGAATCGAACCAGCAACCCTTTGCTTTATAGGCCTGCGCTCAATCCAGTGAGCTACACCAGCCAGGGCTAGATTGATTTTCTTTAAAAGTTGCTGAAAATATTGGTGGGAAGATGGTGATTAGAGCAGAGACCAACAAACCAGAGGTAGGTCAGGTTGGGTGCACTGGGGTCTTGATTTGGACCCTTTGTGTTGTCAGTAACCAAACACCAAACTCAAATTCATTGAAGCCAAACAGGGACTTTACTAGCTTGTGCAACAAACGGTTACATGACTTCATTCTCAGGCAGCTCTCCTACGGTGGTCCTAAATGATGCCAAAACTCCCAGACCTGCGCGTATCCTGTTCATGAGCAGCAGGAAAAAGCGAACTGTGCTGTTCTGACTGGTCCATCAAAAGTCCCCAAATTCAGCCTCCTTGCAACAAGGGATCATATGCTCTCCCTTTTGAACAGTGGCCAGGATTATAGGATATTACTGGTTGGCTTTCCCTGGAGCTGGAGGTTGGCTTCATCCCACCCAAATGGCATACCTAAGAAATATGGGGTCCTCTATGTCAGTAAGAGGGATGTGGATGCTGGAAAGGTGACCAGGAAGGATCCCTCACAGCCACATACCATATTGGCATGGCCTCTCCTTCCTGTCTGACAAGGGTGGGGTGTCTGTTCGCACCCTGGGCAGGCCAGACACGATCGGGGAACCAGCTTTTGTGTTCCTTAGGCTCAGACCAGTAATCCCAGAAGGGAGCCATTGAAGGCCCTTTAAACCACACACTTCCTTGGTCCATAAGGGCACTATAAACCAGTTGCTTTTAATGGAAGGTTTCAGTGAGCATCCCAGAGTGGTTCTGGGTGTGTGGCCTGGAAGCCTGACTGTAGGACTATCTCGAGCATCTGGGACAGATGGTACCAAACACAGATGGCGATGTAGAACCCTTTTCCAAAGCTGGCCCAGTTTCATAGGGGAGACAGAGGTAGCTGGCAGCTAGACATGCCTTCTGCATGCATGTAAGCAGAACTCTGCACAGGGACGACAAAGTGGTGCGGGACTCTAGTGGCAGCCTCCTGCACCATGTTCTGTGTGTGCTGAAGTTTGGGGTTCCTGGTTAGACACCTCTGGCTTGAACACCTGAAAGGACTTTTCCTTAAGACTGCACGGGAGATTCTGGCTCACTTCAGGAGTCAGGCAGGAACCACAGGAGGCGTGGATGGAGATGTGCCACCAGAACAAAAGATGGGTTCTGGCAGGAGCCTCCTTTCCCTGGAGGATTTCCAAGGAGAGTGTTCGCTCTGGTTCTTCTCGGACTCCTTTGGGCTACTCTGAGGAAGTGCAGGCTTCGAACAAGGTTTCAGAGGAACTGCCAAGTGACTTGTGATTGTAATACCTCAAACACACCAAGTTCTGAGTTTTTAACTTCCATTACAGGACTGCGCGGGCAAGCTGGGTGGTGGAGGATTGAGGTACCACTGTACTAGCCTTCACTGAGCAGGAGAAAACTTGCCAGCCACTCACTACTGTTAGGAGAGTCACACTCACTGACCACGAGAATGAGTGAGATGAGCAAAGTGTAGCTCGACACAGGTGGCGGGGCCAAGGGAAGCTGCAGCGCCTACGACCTGCCTACAAGTGGCAGGTGCTACTCAGCTCCCACTGATTGTTGCCCTGTGACACCCTTGGCCTTCTGTGGCCAGGTCATCCATTTTTCAAAGAAGCCAGAAATTGTGATTATACACAGAATCTCTTGCTTTTTAAATTTTGGCAATGCATATTTTTAAAAACCATACATGGTGCCATTTTGCAGCCTCTGGTTTACAATACAGCTGTGGACTCCTATTAGAGGAGTAGTAATTTTTAAAAACCTATTCAAAATATTTGTTAATGTTTTAAGTTGTGGTAAAATACATATGAGAAAACTCAACATCTTCACCATCTTATTTGTACAGGTTAGTGGTGTTAAGTGCACTCACAGTGTAGTGTGGTCCATCCTCAGAGTTCTCTTCCTCTTGCAAAACTGAAACTGTCTACCCCTTAAACTAGAACTCCCTAGTGCCCCTTCACCTCGTCATGGCAACCAGGCATCTACTCTCTGTCTTTGTGAATTTGACTATTCTAGGTAACTCGTGTAAGTGGAATCATATAGTATTTATCTATTTGTGACTGGTTTATTTCCTTAGCATAATGTTTTCAAGGTTCATCCATGTCGTAGCATGTGACAGAATTTCTTTAATTTTTAAGGTAGAGGAATATTCCATTGTATGAATATACCACATTTTGTTTATCTAGTCATCCTCAACAGCTGTTTGTGTTTCTTCCACACTTTGGCTCTTAGGAATAACGCTGCTATGCAGATGGGTGTACACAATTATATTTCTTACAATTTCCTATTGGTTGTTAGCTCTCCTTCTCTGAGTCTGATCTCCCCAGCCTGACTGCAAACTCTCTTGGAGCAGTGACCATAAAATAATGTGTATGAAAGTACTTTATTAATGTAAAACTCCCAACGAAAGTTAATGGTTTTTTAATCTCCTGTGCAGAAGAGTCCCAATTAATTTAGGTAGATATTTCATTCTCCAGAAAGTGGAGCATCACCCACCTTGAGTGAGGGGTGCACGGTAACTTTATTTAAAAGAGGACAGTATGGAAAGTGGATTGTCAAAGGAATAACTCTGCCATGGAGAAATCTGTCAAACCCCAGCCAGGTGACCAAGGTCGACACCAAAAGTGCTAAGTCATATTAATACCACGTACCCTTGATATGATGTGATAAGAATGGCATTTTATCTCTGTGGTCTTTCTCCCCCAAACCCACACGCTCTGTTGAACCATGAGGAAAACATTGCCCATACCCAAAGCAAAGGACAAAATGCCTGACCAGTACTCCTTAAAATTGTCATGGTCATCAAAAACCAGCAAGTCTGAGGAATTGTCGCCCACCAGAGGAGCCTAAGGAGGCAGGATGACTAAATGTGACGTGATATCCTGGATAAGATCCAGGAACAGAAAGAGGCCACTAGGTAAAACTAAGCTCCCACTTCTGCAAAGAAACTGTGGAGTCTAGTATTGACCCATTGTGGGCTCCTCAGAAGGGACAAGTGAGTCCTACTAACGTGAACAGGGAAAATTTGGGGCACGGTGCATGGGAACTCTCTATAATATTTTTGCAACTTTAATGCAATTATAAAATTATTTAAAAGCTTTATTAAAAAGCATTGCACGTTGAACAAAATTAGTAATTGTTTTACTGTGATTATTATGAGACTTTGTACCCTATGAATGTCATAGACTGGGGCCTTTTGACTTAGCCACTAGTCTGTGAGCTCTTTGAGAATAAGGATTTAATTTAATTGATCTCTTCATTCTCAATGACCAGCCTATTGTAGGCACTCAGTTGATATTTGTTGAATAAATAACTGAATGAATAAGCAGGCACTTGGTTGTATTGGTTGAACAAATTAATATGCGCACCGTGGAAACTCAAGGAGTGTGAAGGAATAGAGACAACTTTGACAGGGCTGCTAAAAAAAAAAGAGCAAAACTTCAAGACTCAGCTAGAAACCAAGCCAATGTGAACTACCATGACATTTTTAGAAATCCACATTATTTTAGGAGAACAGATAGAAATTAGCAACCAGTATTCAGAATTAAGAATTATTAGTAATTATATTAGTGTGGAACAGGTGTATCAGTGGGTAACATCCATCCTTTTGCCCTAAAACCTTTGTCTCTACTCGTGGCTTCCAAATTGGGAACCTGTTTTTAAAAACTGATAACTGTGGTTTTCACTAACCATGTAGTCATTTAAGGTCAAATGACTTTTCTATGAACTGATTCTAATCAATCACCTAGGCATGATGCCACCAAATTTTTTTTGGTGACTAAATGTAAAATGATAGTATCTCTTTCCTTTTCTGACCTTATTCTAACCTCCATCCTTTCAATCCTCAAGCATATGCTTAAAATAATTTTTTATTGAATAAAGGTTATAAGAAAATAAACGCAAAACTTCTTCCCCTTGGCCTAGGAGCTTTCAGACTTTTTTGATGACTTCTTCCAATCTTTACTAACACAGACAGCTTTACGGATCTGTAATCAATGAACACATGCAATTTGTGTTTATCTTTTTGTGTTTGCTAATACTTCTTCATGTATCCACTTGTTATTTTAAAGGTTACCTGCTATTGGATGAAACTGATGTACCACAATTTACTTCACCATTTGGGTTGTTTCTGGCATTCCACAATTGTATCATTTCTAAAAATATTTCCTTATTCTAAGGAACTTGTGTGATCATTTTTAGCTTTTGTTACATTTTACCAGATTACCCCTCTGAAAATATTCTGTGCACAAAATATAAATCTCTTATATTTTTACAGTGTTTTGCAATTTAGAAAGCACTTTC